AATGAACAAAACGCATAGATCATAAGAATTTCTATTTTAATTTTACATATCAATACTTTCAATAAATATTTCTTCAACATTATCCGTTTTATTCACTTTGTAAAGATTGTTTTTTTTTGGTATTGTATACATGTGTTGCTAATCACCATATTCTTTTCTCAGAAGGGTTTGCAAAAAATAATGAAAGGCACCAGTGTAGACGAACTGTTTATTGCTAAGTACAATAAACATTTATACTACTATTATTTAGGAATATAACATAAACTACGCAAATTTATTTTCTTTACTAATATGCAAATAACACCCTAATATTTTCCCAGGGTATGCACAAATATGAACCCCTCTTTTCAAATAACATGGCAAGGTAGATTTACTTTCATTTCATTTTACATTGATTTTGCTCCAAAATAAATGTAAAATAGTTGTTACTTGTGAATAATTAATTTTTCCACAAGATTTTTCTTGCATATCATTATTTTGTGCATCAGGTAGATCGCACCCTTGAGGTAGACCACATACTAGAGTAACACCGAACTTTAGTACAATACATACATAATAATTCCAAGAGATTTGACTTACCCTCTATTTCCGATTCCGTTTCGTGATCGCTGTCAATAGCAACATTTCCATCACAAATTGATTCAACTTCGCTTATGTCGTCATCTACGTCATCAAGCCATTTCAAAAGCGTTTCCTCATAGTTTTTATCCCCATATTTGACCTTTTTTGACGTACTGGGTCCCTCATCCATTTTTAAATAAATAGTAAATAAATACGAACACTAACAACCCGTCTATCAGATGGAAATCACACTTTGAATCTAAATATCTTTAGAATAACAACCTGCAGCAAACTGCCCATCTCAATACTAATAAATAACAACCCAACTTGAAAAGTCAGGAACAGGCGACCTTCAAAATTCTTTAGGTAGGGAGATATCCCACTTTCGACCAGCGATGCCGTTTGAGAGACGGGGCGTTAGTACTTAAGGGTTAAAATGCCACAAGAAAATAGCTTCAAAACATTATCATTTTTAATGTAATATCAGTTTCTTTTTCTTGTTGCGATGATGCATGTCTCCTTGCATTCTTTGTTATATCGCTGTAATTTCTATTTTCACTGACCTCTGCTGTTTTTAGTTTTTTGATTTCAATAACCCTATGGGGCGCTTTTATAACATTGTCTTTGTTTGTTCCCTCGTTTGTTATTGTTTGTAATTTTTTACCTACATAACATCAGCGGTAGTTTGCAGGATGGTTTTCTCCACAATGAACACATTTTGGTTTGTTTATCTTCTGGTGGTTTTTCGCAATCTTTAGTAAGGTATTTACCAATACACATTCACAATACACAATTTTACACATCTTGGCTCCTTTTTACAGTATTTTCACGTGTCCGCAAGCCTGACATCTTTTACATTGTGGGACTAATCTGGAACTCCTTAATGGCTCGATTTCAACTCTCGTACTAAGTATGTCTGTTATGCCGTAGATTTTATTTATATCTTCATCCTGTCTAAATGATAGGATAAATGTATCCAGTGGTTTTTTAGTTTTCCATTTGAATTTCTTGTCAGTTTTAATGGCTTTATATTGTCGTTTTTGTAGGTCTTTTAATATTTCCTCTGGTGGCCATGTATGGTGTAATTTTTTAACAACAACTCTAATTGGTCTCTCGTGCTTATTTTCATAAGTGTGGTACGAAAGGTTACTCGTATTTAATTTGTCTATTAAAGCTCTGTAATGATCACTATTGGCTGTATTAATTTTTATAACTTCACTGTTTCTGATTTTCATAGTGAAGGTAATACCAGCCTCAGTAAGAAGCTTGCTCAGGCCAACAGCACTTCTATCTATCTATCTGCTTCTACTACAACCGGAGGTGGTGGTTTTGGTTTTTTGATTGGTTTTTCAATTTGTGATTCTGCACTTGATTTTTGTGGAGAGAGAGGAGATAATGAGATATCCATATTACGTTTTTTTTTAGTTTTCCTGTTTTCGGTTCTTGTCCAGCCCGTTTCATAAGCTAAATGTTCTTCATCGGTGCCATATTCAAGTTAATCTGTTTTTAATTTATTTTGTGATTCATCAGCACTTGCGGTTAACCCTGTATGTTGTTCGGCTTTTTCCAGCTGTGCTAATCTCTTTTCCATATCGGCGATTATTTGACTCAACCGTGAATTATCCATATGAAGTGTAATATAGATGCAGATGGTTTTCATCATCATCATCATCATCATCTTGGTGCTACAGCCCTTAGAGGGCCTCGTCCTTCTCAAGCTTTCTACCTTATTCTATTTTGTCCCTTGCTTGTATTTTCCAGTTGCCAACAACGATCTTCTCGGTATTTTGTGTTACCCTGTCCGTCCACCTCAGCTTTGGTCTACCCCGTCTTCTCGTTCCCACGGGTTGCGCTGCTAGAATATTTTTTATCATGTTCGATTCAGGTGCCTGCGCTTCATGCCCTGCCCACTGCAGGCAGTTTTGCTCAATTATAGTGGTAATATCTTTACCACCAAACGTATTCTTGTGGATATTCTGCAGTTCAAAGTTATATCTACGCGTCCATATTCCGTTCTCACAGACCGCACCAAATATCTTGCGTAGCACCTTTCTTTCAAAAATCGATAGAGCGGATTCATCTGTTTTAGTTAGGGTCTATGCCTCTGATCCGTATGTGAGAATGGGGACTATCAGTGTTCTATACAGCCTTATACGAGTTTTTTGAGACAGAAGTTTGTTAGCTAAGTACTTTGATAGACCATGATAACACCTGTTTGAAATTATTCTTCGCCTTTTTATTTCCTAAGATATGTTATTATTGGGGTTAACTGATGTCCCTAGATGTATGAACTCTTTGACTGCTTCGAAGTTTTGGTCATTGACAATTTAATCTGTGTCAACATTTCCAGCTCTTGTGTTTGTGTTAGTAGCCATGAATTTGATTTTATTTTGATTTATATGTAACCCCAATCGTTCTGCTGCTGCTACTAGCTTGGTTAGGATTTTTGAAGTTCTCGCCTTGGTCCTTGTTATAATCTCCACGTCGTCTGTATATGCTATAATTTGGACTGATCTATTAAATATTGTTCAACTGCTATCTAAATTAGCGTCTTTACGTACAACTTTTTCTAAGGCGACATTAAAAAGCTGACACGCCAACGCATCTCCCTGCCCTGCCATTTCGAGATGTACATGGTTTTAAAGGATGCATACTATCCCCTATGCTGTTCAATCTTTACTCGGAACTATTATTCAAGCAAGCCTTGGAAAACCTTTCCACAGGAATAAAAATTAATGGAGAACCAATATCTAGCATAAGATATGCAGATGACACTGTCCTACTGGCTGATACAGACACAAACTTACAGAGGGTTATAGACCACCTTAAGGATGCTTGTCGAGAGTTTGGAATGAAGATCAACGAAAAAAAAAACAAAAGTAATGGTGATCCAAAGAAAACAGAATATCCCCTTACCTATAAAAATAAATGGGAACATTTTAGAACAGGTAAACCAATACAAATACCTTGGCTGTTGGATTAATTGCAATCTGGACCCAGAACAAGAAATTAAAGCGAGAATTGCTCAAGCTAGGGATAGTTTCTTTAAGATGCGCGTTCTATTCTGCGATACACATATAAATATTAAATTGAGATTTAAACTTGTAAAATGTTTTATCTGGTCTGTTCTTCTCTACGGATTCGAAACATGGACTTTAAAAATAAAGAGCCTGAATAGAATCGAGGCATTTAAAATGTGGGTGTACCGTAGAATTTTAAAAATTCCTTGGACAGCACGAAAAACAAATGAAGAAGTACTAGCTAGACTCAATTTAGAAAAAGAACTATTGAGAACAGTCAAAAGAAGAAAAACCAGTTATTTAGGGCATTTGTTGCGCAACGAGAAATACTACATCCCTCAGTTGATAATAAAAGGCAAAATAGAAGGAAAGCGAGGAATTGGAAGAAAAAAATTGTCCTGGTTACGTAATATCAGAAACTGGACAGGACTTGGATTTGAGGAACTCTTAAGAACAGCTGAAGATAGACAAACGTTTGCCACCATAACCGCTAACCTCCATTGATGGAGACGGCACTTGAAGAAGAAGAATGGTTTTAAAGAGGATAATATTCCACTTGCACAGCTATTTTCCACTACCAAAGATGCATTAAATAATTTAGAATATTTCGCCTTGAGTAATAGCGATATCTCAACAGAAAGTGGAAAATTGACTATCAACGACTGTATTGAAGAAATACAAGAACTAAACAAAACTATTTCTAACTCTGTACCTGAAAAAGAAGAATCAGTAGTTTTTTAGTGTTAAATATATCAACACTGTTTGAAGCCTACGCAAATGTCAGAGATTTAGAAAACGTTTTTATTCATGAGAACAATTTTTACATATCCACAAATATTTAAAGTTTTTAAAAATAAATTAAAAATCATGAAGCAATCGTTAATTTTTTATTAAAAAAATAAAAAATTTACTATACAGTGTGTCCAAAAAAAGTATTTAACCTGTTCTTAAAATGATGTAATTGTATTCGTTAATGTGTCTAATAAATTGAAATTACGAATAATTAAAATTGTGTGTAATATGTAAAAAATAACGTTAAATGCAGATCAGTTGCTTTAATTTTCTTAAGCTCTCTCTTAAACGACCACTCACCATTGGAAGGTTTTACTGAAACAGACAATGTAAATAGACATAAGAAAAATAGATATTTTGTATACTAATGATAATTCTGTATATACCACAGGTAAAACAACAATATGCAGGGTACTATTCTTCAAAGTCTAGATAAATTATCAAAAACGACCTACTTAGTTCAGAAAATATGTGAAGCACCCACAAAACACACGCATAAATATATGTAGATCGAGGAATCAAATAGGGAAAATATTAACAAAATATATCCGTTATTCATTATCGATTATACTTTAAATATTATATATACAGTGTAAAAATTCAATAAATGTACATAATATTTCTTACCAGCTAATGTTTCCACAATATCTAAGTTTATGTTTTCAATCCATTCGGGTACAAACGAGCTATTGTAGGAATTGTAAGAATTCAAAACGCTATAAAGTGTCTTTATTTCAGGAAGTGATACTGTCCACCCTGTTTTATCGGAAACAAATTGGAATAGTTCTGTATAATTACGTTTGAAAGACGGATATGTTGCGTTCTGAAGAGTTAGAAGAATATCTTCGTACTTTCTAAAAATTATAACAGAAGTGAATTGATGTCATAATTATCATTCAGATAGCACTTTACAAAATATATTACAAGAATATAATTCATATAAACAAACATCATATAAACAAACTTTTTTAATATATTAGATAATATAATGATAATATTACAAGTTAGTATTATAACAATAATCTACTAAGACCAACAAAATATATCTGCCAGGAACACAACTACAACCAGTATACTGTCCTGTTAAGAATAGAATTCGTATCTGCAATTTTGAGTTTTTTTAGATTATAATGCCAACACATTGACAGCCAAATAATCTACCTATATGTTAAGAATGAAAGACCTATCTGCTGTTTAAAAATAAATTATTCCACTTTAAAATTTTGTCGGATCTGAATTTTTACAGTTTTTAAGGCAATTTGTCGAATCTTCATTTTTAAACATTTTTGGTCGTATCTTCACAAGACAATTTGTAGGTACGACAAATTTGCTTAACAATTGTGTAGTTTCTAACAATAGTCTAAAAATAGGAAGATCTAACCTAATAATTCAAAGTATTTCCGCCTTTCTAGTTTCTTAACCTAAAATTAAACGGTTGCAAGCGTTATTGAGCGTATCTGATTTTCAGTTATTTACTAGTATTAATCTTATTGTTATAGTGTTTTTAAGTGTATTTACATTAAAGTTTATTAACTGAACAAGTAACAATGGACAGAAATAGCAGAGCATTTAAAATGCTGCTTATTTTAAATAACCAAGAAAGAAAGAAAATACATAGTTTACGACGACGTGTTAAGAAACCTAAATTTTAGCATGATAATGACCCCAATTTTATTTTGTCAGATTCAGAGACAAAAGAAATTAGGGAACCGAAATTAAACAGAAAAGGTTTAAATAAAGTGAAGATTATTAGTGATATAACTTTAAGAGCTGCAAATGTTGTTCCTGAAGAATCGGATTACAAAGGGAAGGAAGAAGTATGGAAGACTGTCTTCCTTTTATTCAATAAATTTTGGTAGATATATATATATATATATATATATATATATATATATATATATGTATGTATATATATATATATATGTATATATATATATTATTATATGTATATATATATGTTAGGATTTTTATGTTTTAATGTTTTTGTACTTAGCAGTTGGTACAACTGATTTTATAAAAAAGAAGAAGAAGTTTGACTTGATATATAACCTATATATGACAGATGTATCCATGTGTGAAAAATAAAAAACAAAAAGTAAAAATCTTTATTCATCATACAATCCAATACCCTATGGAGTACAAAAAACACAACATTTGTTGATCCTTCGAGCGTGATACATCCAGAAACAGCTATTTTCAAAAAATATCCACAAGAACTTATAAAAATTCAGATTGAAGTCTTCTACATATACACACACACAGGAGGTAATCGTAAGTCATTCATTCTATTTCCTATTTTACCTTACTGATTATCCAACCTATTATTCACAATTTAGAGGCTTTAATCAATAATCATGTCTGATTTAGCAAAATGTGTTAGAACTAGGGGTTCAGTTAAAAAGCGGTTAACTTTGGTAGAAAAGTTTATAGATGTTATAAAAACATCAGAACCAGATAGGAAACCTTCATTAACTGATGCTACAATTAGAATTAACGAATTAGAGTTAATAGATAAAGACTTTGAAAGCATTCAATTAGAAATAGAGGTAAATTGTCCTGAACAACAACTTGAGGAGAACTATAAGGAGAGAGAACAATTTAAAAAGCGGTATTATGATACTCTAAGTTTTCTTAAGACATACATAGAAAGTATGTCTGCAAATCAAACTAGTAACAATTCATTAAGTTGTAATAGTTCTAATAAAGATCCATTACAAAATATTATTTTACCTAAAATTAAACTTCAAATGTTTAAAGGTGATTATGACAGTTGGCTGGAGTTTAAAAGTAATTACCTTTCAACAATACATGAAAATGCATCATTGACACATTCTCAAAAATTTTCTTTATTGAGAGCATCACTAGAAGGTTATGCAAAAAGTTTAATCGATCAAATTCCATTCACTGATAATTTATATCAAGAAGCTTGGAACACATTATTAGACAGGTTTGACAAAAAGTATTTTTTAGTAGATAGTCATTTAAATTCAATTCTTAACATAGAGCATTGTTCTAAAGAATCCTCAACCAGTTTTCGTAGACTATTAGACAATGTATCAAAAAATCTTATATCTTTACAAAACATAGGTATTAGTAAAGACCAGTTGTGGGATTTTCTAATTATACATTTAGTTTCATCAAAATTAGATAAAAATACTTTTAGAGAGTGGAAAGAGAAAAAATTTAGTGGTGAACTTCCTAACATGGAGGAATTCTTAGAATTTCTTAAATCAAAAGCAGACATATTGGAAATCATACACAACACTACAAATGTAAACATTAATCCTAGTTCTAATATAAAACCAAACAAAACAAAAAATCATTCACATTTTAATTTAGCAATTTCCAGCCATAACTCAAATAATAATTACAAAAAATGTAATTTTTGTAAAAAGAATAACCATACAATATACAGTTGCTCTGATTTCTTAAAGCTAAATATCAATCAAAGAAAAGAATCAATTTCACAACTACAGTTGTGTGTAAACTGTCTGAGGACAGGACATAAGGTTGAATCATGCTATTTAGGGCCTTGCAAAATTTGCAATGTAAAACATAATTCATTAATTCATGAACAATCCAATAATCCAACATCTACCAATTTATTCATACAACCTCAACATTCAAATACACAAATTCTATTATCCACTGTAGGCTTTTATGTTAAAGATACGGTAGGCAACCAACATTACTGTCGAGCTCTATTAGACAGTGGTTCACAAAACAATTTAATTACACAAGGGTTTTGCAATAAAATTGACATACCTTTAATAGATTCAAAACTATCCATAGTTGGAATTAATCAAGTAACATCACATTTATCAAAAAAATGCAATTTGACTATTTTTTCTAAAATTGACAATTATCAAACAACAATTTCATGTTATGTGATTTCCAACATATGCAGTGAAATACCTGCAGAAAAACTAATCCACCCATCTTTAATTATCCCTAAAAATATTCAATTATCAGATGAACAATTTTTTGAACCTGGAGAGATTGATATGCTTATAGGTGCAGATCTTTTTTGGGACCTTCTAACAGAAGGAAAAATATATCTTGGTAACGGGTTACCTATTTTACAAAATACTAAACTAGGCTGGGTTGTTTCAGGAAAAAGTCCTGTATCAACTTCATTATCCAGATGCAATTTTGCAAACACAATTTATTCAGAAGATGCTCAATTAAAAAGATTTTGGGAACTAGAAGAAGTACCTGTAAATTCAGTCTTGCCAAAAGATGAATCAGATTGTGAAAATCATTTTCACAAAAATACTACTAGAAATGAAGAGGGTCGTTTTGTAGTAAAGTTATCATTAAAACTATCTCCTGATGTATTAGGGGATTCATTCAATGCAGCTTGTACCAGGTTTGTAAATCTAGAAAAAAGATTTAATCAAAACAACAATTTTCAAATTCAATATTCACAATTTATTAAAGAATATATTTCCTTAAATCATATGACTAAGATAGATATGTCACAAGATAATCCTAATAAAACATACTATTATTTACCACATCATGGTGTTCTCAAAGAAGAAAGTCTCACAACAAAACTACGTGTAGTTTTTGATGGTAGCTGTGCTTCTTCTACAGGCTACTCATTAAACGATTTACAATACATTGGTCCAAAAGTCCAAAATGATATTATCAGTATTTTACTAAGATTTAGAATGTTTAGATATGTAGTTTCTGCAGACATTACAAAAATGTATAGACAAATTTTAATTCACAATGATCATAAGTCATTACAAAGAATTGTTTGGAGAGATAATCCAGAACAAGACCTTTCAGTTTATGAGCTAAATACAGTGACTTATGGAACAACTTCAGCTCCATATTTAGCAATAAAATGTTTACAAACATTAGCTCAAGAACATATAAATTCATTTCCATTAGCATCACAAACAATTCTAAAAGACTTTTATGTAGATGATCTACTCACTGGTTCTAATAGTATCTCTGAATTAATTCAAACATGTCAAGAAGTCTCATTCATTCTAAATTCTGCTGGATTTCCTCTAAGAAAATGGACTTCTAACAATCCAAATGTTCTTCAAACCATTTCCAGTAATGATGATTCATTAGCCATATTAAAATTAGGACAAAATGATGCTTCAAAAACATTAGGTATTTACTGGTACAGTCAATTAGATGTTTTAAAATATTCAATTAATAAAAATATTTATCCATTAACGAGTTCACTTACAAAAAGACAGGTACTCTCAGATATAGCACAAATTTATGATCCATTAGGTTTAATCAGCCCTTGTATAATTATAGGAAAAATAATGATACAAAAATTATGGTCATTAAACATGGCATGGGATGAACCCATTCCAGATGATCTATCTTTACAATGGCAACAGTTTAAAACTGAATTGTCAGAATTAAATCAATTATCCATTCCTAGATATGTTATAAAAAATGAGTATAAATTGATAGAGATCCATGGTTTTTGTGATGCTTCTCGTGATGCATATGCTGCATGCATTTTTGCACGCAGTTCAAATTCGCAAGGAGAATTTCATGTACAACTATTATGCTCGAAAACTAAGGTGGCACCACTTAAGTCATTAACAATTCCAAGATTGGAATTATGTGCAGCCTTATTACTTGCACAATTATCTATTCAAGTAAAAACATCACTATTCAATCTTCCTAATGATATACCATTTTATTATTGGTCTGATTCACAAGTGGTGCTCTGTTGGTTAAAAACAGATCCAAACTCTCTAGAAATTTTTGTGGGCAATAGAGTGGCAAAAATTCAAAATTTAACTTCTATCTCAAATTGGAGTTATACTAATACAAAAACAAATCCTGCTGATGTTGCCTCCAGAGGCATACTACC